AAACCATTTGACAGATAGACCGAAAATATATGGCTAAGTAATTTGAGAAAGGTCAACACTCTTTTGAGAACTGAGTTTGGAATACCGTCCGTTCCCGAATAGTGCGAGTTTTTTAAGCGAATTATACGCTTACGAATAAATTCTATGTGTATAGGCCTTCCAGTGAACTTCTAGATGGTGATTCATCTATCGGTATTTTCCATTCTAAGGACATGAGCTGGCTTTCAGTTTAAAACTCTCGATGCTTTTGGACTTCAGCGGTTCCGACTTAAGAGGATTGAAGTGTAAATTTCCCTACATAGCACTAATCTGGGTTGGGTGTGAGACAAGTAATGTACATTACTTGTCTCACACCCAACCCTGGATTTCTCTTCGACTCGAACAGAAATCCAGAAACTACATACGGAGCAAAATTAAATTAAATTTCAAGTGCACCCCATCCGCCATCGCAAATTTACGCATCCATACGATATCAACTGCTTGATATAGCGTCCCATGCATTACGCAATTATATAATGTCTAATGATGATGATGATGGCGTTGTCTTTCCTCGAGATGTAAGAGGGATTTCGTCCAAGCAACGCTCAGAGGTGGGGCAAACAAAGCGAAAATTTTGACGGGATGCATAGGTGGGAATTGGAAATCCTGAGGGCCATTACAAAAAAATCGAAATGAAGACTTTTGTTATAAATGTTTGAAATAATTTTGAATTGGTGCTAAGGCTGTCCGCTTCTGTTCTGATGCTGTGCGCTTCTCGCTACTAAGGACTGGTTTGTACGATTTCTCGAACATCGGCTACACAGTTTGGACTTTGTACCTCACTACACTATAGTCGCATCAACATTTTTTGGTAGGTACTTCCTAGCAATCATGAACATAAAAGTTGTAGAAAATTATAGGCTATAGTCCTTGCAGACAATAGTCCATGTCTGCACCTCCAAAACAACTTTAGCCTAAGTTAATCTGATAGGCATGTGTTGGCCTTTCTATGTGAACATTGTTGGTTGTTACAATGCGCGTTGGTGG